GTCAGATATTGGTATTAATCAAAATTTAATTTTTTCTTTCTACACTGTCTACTATATTGCCTAATTTATAATAATTTATATATTTTAAATTGTTTATTGACTACATGAAAAAGATTTATGTAAACAACTTAATGTCAACAACAATAAGTAAAAATTTTTTGTAAACTTAATATTAAAAAATATAACACTTGCTTGCAAGGTACTATTGATATTTTGATTGTGAATTTTGGTTCACAGACAAATTTAACCTTGTAAAAAATAAATAAAATACAATCCGATTTTTATGATAGTAAAAACATTGTTGCAACAAACAAGGCTTGACAAATATACCAGAATTTTTGTTCAGATTTTCATACAATCTGGACCAATAAAAAGTTTTCGAAAATCCCTGATGGAAGAATTTAAATTCATATTGCCTGTGTTAAGATTTTTAATGACTTGTCATGTACTTTGTGTGAGCGAGTTAAAGCAAGCGATTATTTAATTCATAAGAAGTTATATAAATTATTTAAATACTCCATGTGTTACATATAAGAAATAACGATGAATTATAAATAGACTATTGAATATATATTTTATAAATAAGAAAATACACAATTTATTACAAAATATATATGTTTTTTATACAATACTATCATTCTTTATGATTATTTACATAAGCTGCTAGATCTTGTTGGCCTCGTTTGAGACGTGCCCTCACTTCTTCCGCTATTGCTTTTTGCGTTCTCCTTTCTAATATTTCTAATTTTTTGGCTATATCTCGTTTTAAATCCCAATCAGGCTTTCTCGGTGCTAAATTACTTATATCCTAGTAAATAATAAAGAATCAATTCTAAGAAATCGTAGAATCATAGAATACTCCAATAATATGATATAGCCATATCGAGAAAATACATAATATTTGATACAAAAGCTTTAATAAATTATCTTTGATCTGAATTATCTTTGATCTGGATTTTTTCAACAATTTTCCAAATGAATTTGTAACAAAAATTATATATATTGAAGGAGTGCTCATCAGATAAGAAGATACAAGGATATATGTTGTAAGATATTTCCCTCCAACTTACCAGTTCCTCGATAACCACTTTACTGTTTGCAGCGTCCAGCTGTTCTTGAACTACAGATTCCACATCTCCAGGCTTCGCATCCTCTATTATATTACTTTTCAAGTTTTCATCCTGCGGTTTGTAACTCCGAAATTTTGGCCTGAAAATACAAGATTTTGAGCAATTCGATAGCAATGTGAGGTTAGATTTACATCTGCATTACTAAAACGAAGTTTACTTCGGCAAGTTTTCGATCATGTCGTTCGCATTTTCTTTGCCCTCTTCATTCTTTCTCTTGAGTGCCTGAAGTCGTTCTTTTCTTTTTAAAGCCTCCTCCTCTAACGAGCCAATTTTTTCCTCCGTCATTTTTAAACACACAAATAAAATAATAATCTACAGATGACACTTCGATAATAACACTAGTGACTTTAGGGTAAAAAGTTTGGACAACTGTTGGGAATCCATATTCCTAGAGGAACCGAATTTTTCGCACGTACGCGGTGAATTTGATTTGAATAAAGAATGCTGAGTTATTTGAAGAAAAAAAAAAAGATTTTCAAATATTTAAATAAAAAGTATATATATTTTTATATAAAATA